GCGGTCCCCCTGTGGAACGCAAGCCGCGATCGTTACAGCTGCATTACATGTGTGCTGACTGACCAGGCCTGAAGCCTGCAGGTGGTCAGATGTGGTCTCAGTCGGGGTCCAGAATTATTCCTGGGATGGAAAGCCAGGGAAGAACTTCATCTGCTGGAGGTGTCGGAGAAGCCAGAATGGGGCTTGGACCTCAGAAAGAAGTCTGGTGTCTCACTCAGGGGAGATCTCAAAATGCCAACCAGCTTTGGTTCTCTGACACAGTGTCTCCACATTTTCAATTTAATGTCCCTCTACACTGTGAAGCTGGAAGGTAATTGGTGAGTCTTTACCGAGATCCCAACCTCAAAAAAGCAATTTCATGGAGGAGCCGTTCTCATTTCAGGGAGGTGCCCTCTGCCATCCTTGGGGAGGGGGAGGGAGAACCCCCCTGAAATGATGGCAGATAGCACAGGAAGCAATAGCTTCTTTGCTATCTGCTGGTTTTTTTTAAAAGTACTTTAGTATTTTATAGCTGCTGCCGTCAGAATTAAAAAAAAAAAAAAAAAAAAAAACAGCATAGGAATGAATAGCTAGATTGCTATTGGCTAGTTCAATTTGCAATAGCCAATAGGAAGCTGGCTATTGCACCCACCCTCTGCTGCTGTCAGTCAGTAAAGGAGTGCCTGATGGAGAACTTCAGGTCCACCTCTGCTGATTGACAGCCGCAGTGGGTGGGTGCAATAGCTAGTCTGCTATTGGCTACTTCAGTTTGCAATAGCATATAGCAATCTGGCTATTCGTTCCTATGCCGTTTTTTTTTTTTCCTGACTGACAGCGACTGGTGGTCAAGAGAAAAAAAAACAGAGCAGGAAAAGGTTTACTCTGCTAGACCGTGCAGAGTAAATCTTTCCCGGAAGAAGATGTTTCTCTCTCGGGTGTCCGGCAGACGCTATCTAATAGCAGGAGACTCCCGGAACATCTGGGAGAGTTGAAATGTCTGATCTTTAGCTCTGTGTACTTTAGATGTCTGCATCCCGAACCCTCTCTCCCTGTTTTGCTGCACCCGGAGCTGGGTCATCGTCATTGTTCATAACTTCTCATGTCTCTGTGTTTGTCACTATGTGCAGAGATTGCGGATCAATAGAAATCCATGAAATGTAACTCTACTTATAATAACATAAAGCCTCCCTGCCAGTATTATGACGATAACAACGACAAGGTTTAATACATACCTGTACAGCCGCTGGTCTTTTTTTCATATGATTGTTTTATTGTAGGAAGATTTCCATATTACAGATACTATGACAGACCGTCCCGGCTGGTCAAGTGTATAGTCCAGGATGGAGTGTAGGTCTCACCCAGACCTTAGTGTTCTATCAGGTAGACAGTTTATCAGGAAAGGACTGAGGAAGTTGATCTGGGTTTGGTTCATGCTCATTGAACTCATTATAAATTCAGGAAATTGTGAACTTTAATCCAAAATGCCATTGACATCTAAGCGTGGCAAATCTTAAAAATCAATCCTGGCCATTTCAGGGGACATTTAATAAAGTAACATTTGAAGGATCTCTTCAAATATATTTGACACATCCCTGACTGCTGCCAACTTGTGTCCCTAATGATGGGCACTGGCAGGTCTAGTATTGTGGTTGAGAGAGCAACTATTTCTTGAGATACTGCAAATGATTCCAGAGATACTGTGGCTGGGAAAATTGCTCTTCCACTCTCTGTGCTCTGTGTTGTGAACATTGTGCTAGGATGTGTTTTTAGTATATTGTCATCATGTCTCCCTGTGTCTGGATTTCTGGGCCATGCTCGATTGGAGCGTGACCCGGATTTAAATAGACACTGGGGTTAAACCATTGGAGTAGATATCTTATGCGTGGCGGAGCAGTGTTTTCTTAGCGAGTGTGTGGACGTCAAGCTAGGGCCCCTGCGCGGTGCGCGGATTTATTGGTTTGGCGTGTATACAACTTGCTTTGAGGATATAGTATTATTTAAGATACATATCGGCCTTTATGAAAGGAACGTGCGTTCGTATTTCTGATAGTCTGATCAGCGCGCTGGAAATGGTATGGCATTGTCCCTGCAGATAAGCTCGCAGTCATAGGAATCATAGTAAGGTTATTGGGCATTGCTCACTGAGCCGTGTTGGATAAGGTTCGCTCCAGTGGTAATGCAAGATTGTGTTTGTGGTATGATAGGGACATACACTCACTTTTCTTTTGTGTCATGTTGATGTAGTGAGGAACTGATGTTGGTTGTTGACATCTCTTCCTGGTTTGCTGCTTGAGACATCACTTCCTGTTTGACATCTCTTCCTGGTTTGCTGCTTGAGACATCACTTCCTGTTTGACATCACGTTCTGGTTTGCTGTTTGAGACACCATTCCTGTCTGACATCACTTCTGGTTGGACAGCTATAAAAATAAACAAATACCTGTGCTGAGGTCTCTAAGAAGGGAACCACCAGCAGGAAAGCAACACCTGTGTCCTGACTACATGACTCTACAGAGGTACATCCAGTCCTTGCACAAAAGAGCGTAATACAACTGTGCTTTTAAGCACGGGGGGGAAATTAGTTGTGTTCGGCGGCATACTTTGGCGCACTTTAGCGCAGCATAGATTTGTGCGTTTAACCAAATTTCCATAACAAGTAACCTTTCAGCTCCTTGTCCTTTAGATATGTACACACTCGCTAGTCCTGTGTAATCCTGCAAATCTGTCCAATCGGGTGACTTCCAGTTATCCCGAAACACACGTCTTCCCCCTAAGTTGGTCATATCTAATACCCTTCAATAGTTCATGGTATGAAGAGCTCACATGCTGCCGTTGTGTCAGTGACTGTAGCTGAGGCTACTGTTGTAGGTCCTGGAAATAGTCTTAAAACATGCAGTGGGCGGAGTAAATAAAAAGTCAATACAAGGCAATGGAAATAATAGCTATAGCACTATGTTCTATTAAAAGTCTTCACACACATAAAACGTGAAGGCCAGCCTAACCCACATCATCATCATTGTATGTTAGTTCAGTCAAGAATACAAGAGGCGACCACCAGAAACTTGCAGAGAAAAGCTTTAATCGTAAACAGCGAAGTGGATTCTTTACTGTGAGAGATGTAAACTTGTGGGACTCACTTCCATAGACAGTGGTATCAGCTGAGAGTATGGAATCATTCAAGAACTATCTAGGTCAGTGGTTCTCAACCTGTGTAAGCTCAGGACCCACATTTGTCCTTGGTCATTAAGTCATGACCCAAGTTGCACTGCAATGGAACGCACCGCATTGAGTACTGCGCGTTTAAATGTGGGCAATAGAACTGTGGGTGGGAGGTGCATTTGGGGTGCCATTCAAATAAATGACAATGCAATACGGGACTGTGCGATTAACGCACTTTACTAGTGTGACTGGGACCTCAAAAACACACAACCACAGACACAATCTCATACACACATACACTCTCCCCCCCAAAAAAAGTGTTCTTTTTTTTTAAGATCCACCCAGTCTCCCTACCTTATGAGAACTGGAGTGGATCCTTAGCCTGGGGTCCCGTGTGGGCTGCTATACTGTGATGGAGTTCCATCCATATGTGCATTGCTTGTACCGTTCCCTTGCACACCCTGTAGAGGTGCCGAGAGCCAGAATGTTACATCACACCGGTCCAAGCACCTCCACAGGACAAGCAAGGGAGCTGTAAGCAATGCATGTATGGATGGAGCTCCCTTATGGCCATACCCCCACCCCACCTCAAGCTGACACTCGGTATCGGGCAGCATATTTTGAATGGCTGCTTGGCGCAAGAACTGACAGTGCTGCTCAAGGGGGAGGCTGAGGAGCCTCTCACCTAGAAAAGTGGAAGGCACACGGGAACCCACTAAACACAGGGTCGCGACCCACCAGTTGAGATCCAAGGATCTAGATACTTTTCTCAGCACACAAGATATGCAGAGGTACATGTAATCTTAGTAACAAACACACAGAGACACACACACACAAACCCCAAAGGTTGAACTCGATGGACTTTTGTCTTTATTCACCCGTAACAACTATGTAACTATATATGTATTTATGTAAATGCTGCAGAGAAGTCAAACAACATCAGAGAGTCCTGACTAGTACAAATATTTTCCAAAGTTTGATCAGACTTTATGCAGGTGTTGCAGTTGCCATCATTAGAGCACATACAAGGGCCATGACTCGTCCGGCAGTATGGTGTAGTCTGGTTTCAATGTGTAAAGTCCTCTGGTTGCTGATAATGTGATGTCATGAGAAAACCTAATCCCAGGTAATTTTAAGGTGACTTAATTTCTTGCAAAACCTTCTCTAAAATGACCTCATGTGACCAATAGTTGGTCCAGATGTGGGCACCAGAGGTAACTGATTGGATTGGCAGGTTTGTTCTCTGTCTTCCCAGGTCACCGTTGCTGGAACTCTCCATACACGTCTGGACTCCTCTTACTGATCTGTATCATTCTGCTTTGTGTCTCATTATGGCTGGGTAAGTCTGAAAGTGACTGATGCCATGGAGAGGAGAGTAGGAGGTGTTTCATGAAATGTATTTATCTCAGAGGAGAGGAGAGGAGAGGAGAAGGTAGAACATTCCAAAGATTAGGTTCAGCTCAGGAGATATCCTGGAGAGGAGAGAAGGAAGTAGAAAGTTGCATGGACTAGGTTCAGCCTAGATAGAGAGTTCCATGAAATTGACTGATCTGAGGAAGAATCCTGGAGATGAGGGTACATAGTTACATAGTTACATAGTATTTGAGGTTGAATAAAGACATTAGTCCATCAAGTTCAACCTATTAGGATCTCATTCTAGGAGTACCTGTACCCCTGTATATTACCTGTACCCCTGTATATTACCAAAGGAAGGTTGAAAGCTACAGGTCCATATCTGATCCGGACGGACAGGTGGAGTATTAGATAAGGGAAAAGGATAATACAATTTATGAAATTGATTTTGTTTAAGGCTTCTCCTGCCCATGCCCCAGCAACGAGGGTAATATGACCCACAGACTGCAGGAGATGGACAGGAAACTCAAATGCGTGACTGAAAGGACTCAGGACAATGTTCCCCTCCAGGGTGAGTTCAATAATTTGCACAATATCAACGTTAACAAATTCAGATAATCTATGATGTTTGTATGAAGGCCGAGCCCTGCGCCATGAACATGAAATTATGATCTGTCATCTCCTTGTAAGTTCTATTTATGTCTATGTGGACATCCCATCTTCTCACAATTCGGCATATACAGTACAGCTGATTGTTTCCCTACAAACTACTGGAGAAATGACACCGTACAGAATCCAGAACACAACAACTGGAAAACATTGTGTATGTAAATCACCAAATGGAGGCACCAAGAAACATCCATAGCAAGTGACCGAGGGAAGACCAGTCCCCCTCTGGTGACATCCCATCCTGATGGAATTTCCTGACTTCCTCCCTAATACGGATGTCCGCCATTATACCAAAAGAAAATCCATGAAACTTGCTGATCTAGTTTGTATGTTACAGAAAATCAAGATATAAATTGATTTGTTTCCCCTCAGCAGAAATACATAATTGTCCCGAAAACTGGACCATAAAGGATAAAATGTGTTACTACTTCTCAGAGCGAGAGGAATCCAGAGACCAGAGTGACAAGTTCTGCATGTCGTATGAGGCCCGGCTGGCTACAGTCAGATCTTCACAGACTGGACTACTGGTATTATTATTATTATTATTATACATTCATATAGCTCTGACATATACCATAGTGCTGTACAGAGAAGACTGAGCCAGTCACATCAGTCTCTGTACAGAGGAGCTGACACTCTAATGTCCCCTCCCCCCCACAGTCACATCAGTCTCTGTACAGAGGAGCTGACACTCTAATGTCCCCTCCCCCCCACAGTCACATCAGTCTCTGTACAGAGGAGCTGACACTCTAATGTCCCCTCCCCCCCACAGTCACATCAGTCTCTGTACAGAGGAGCTGACACTCTAATGTCCCCTCCCCCCCACAGTCACATCAGTCTCTGTACAGAGGAGCTGACACTCTAATGTCCCCTCCCCCCCACAGTCACATCAGTCTCTGTACAGAGGAGCTGACACTCTAATGTCCCCTCCCCCCCACAGTCACATCAGTCTCTGTACAGAGGAGCTGACACTCTAATGTCCCCTCCCCCCCACAGTCACATCAGTCTCTGTACAGAGGAGCTGACACTCTAATGTCCCCTCCCCCCCACAGTCACATCAGTCTCTGTACAGAGGAGCTGACACTCTAATGTCCCCTCCCCCCCACAGTCACATCAGTCTCTGTACAGAGGAGCTGACACTCTAATGTCCCCTCCCCCCCACAGTCACATCAGTCTCTGTACAGAGGAGCTGACACTCTAATGTCCCCTCCCCCCCACAGTCACATCAGTCTCTGTACAGAGGAGCTGACACTCTAATGTCCCCTCCCCCCCACAGTCACATCAGTCTCTGTACAGAGGAGCTGACACTCTAATGTCCCCTCCCCCCCACAGTCACATCAGTCTCTGTACAGAGGAGCTGACACTCTAATGTCCCCTCCCCCCCACAGTCACATCAGTCTCTGTACAGAGGAGCTGACACTCTAATGTCCCCTCCCCCCCACAGTCACATCAGTCTCTGTACAGAGGAGCTGACACTCTAATGTCCCCTCCCCCACAGTCACACACTATTATCACACATTGATAAAGCTCTGACATATATAGACAACGTGTATGGGAACAATTAGCTGAACTTACTGTGATTTTGTTGGAAGACCTTGGTGAAGAATTTGGGGAAAGATTTCTGGATTGGACTGAAGAAGGAACATCGGGATACCTATGAGGAGGCTCTCTGGTACTGGAGTGATAATAACACTGAACTGTGAGTATGTAAATCTCGGTATCACTGGCAGATAGTTGCTGATTTGCTGTTCAGAATAAAGCAGTTCCTGAAGTGACGTATTCATTTTTCAGCCAAGTCAAAAAAGACGCCGAGGGCATGACCTGCGCCAAACTAGCTGAAGAAGTGACTGCAGAACCTTGTACTTCGAAACTCCGCTGGATCTGTGAGAAGGAAGCTGAGACACATTTCTACAAAACCATCTCAGACTGTCTGCAGTTGGTGTGATGTTATCTGAGGGCTTCAGCAAGCTAGCATAGTGGACACAGACATTTGTGTCTGTTTTGTATTTTACTTGGATAGCCTGTAAAAGTTCAAATGGGAGCCATGTTGGATCCTGAGCAATCACTGTGACACCATGCGCTGGTGGTGGGAAGCCAGCATTCCATTTGAAGGGTAAGGGGTGGAAATCCTGCATTCTATTGGATGGGTTAGTGGGGGGGAAACTTCATTTTGTTGGATGAGTTAGACATATAGAGCCTGCATCCTTTTAGATGGGTTAGAGGTAGGAAGCCTGCATTCTGCAGGATGGGATAGGGGTGGGAAGCCTGCATTCTACTAGATGGTTTGGGGTTTGGAAGTCCACATTCCATTGGATGGGTTATGGTTTGCAAGCTCATATTTCACTGGATGGGTTAGAGATAGAAAACCTGCATTCTGTTGGATGGGCATGGGACGGGAAGCCCACTTTCCATTTGATGGATTCTGTGTGGGAAGCCTGTATTCTATTGGATGGGTTAGTGGTGAAAATTCCACATTCTATTTGATGGTTAAGGTCAGGAAGCCCACATTCCACTGGATAGGTGAGGGGTGGGAAGTCTGCATTCTACTCGATGGCTTAGGGTTTGGAAGTCTACATTCCATCATTGGATGGGGTACAATTTGGAAGTCCACATTCTTTTGGATGGTTTAGGAGTGTGAAGCCTGCATTCCACTGGATGGGTTAGGGATGGGAAGTCCACATTCTTTTGGATGGGTTAGGGGTGGGAAGCCTGCATTCCATTGTTTGGGTTTGGGTAGGGGAACCCACATTTTACTGGAGCTCAGGCTTCCACAATCAGTGCACAAAGTAAGTCTACAGAGTTGATTTATAGATAACATCTCCTTGTTGTGAATTGTACCAATTTGCTTCCATTCTGGGTTTAGGCAAATACACAAATTCCTAAAGACAGACTTTTGCTGAATGGCCCTATTATGAAAATCTATCAGGGTTTTAATAGAAAACTTGGACACATAAAGAAACCTTAGCCAGGGCCTGGCTCTCCTGTTCTTTACCTGTCCCTGAAGTTAAATCCCAACCTCATGCAGTATTTGTGAATGAGAAATGAACCGCTAAAATGAATAGCACCATGCATAAGCTTAAACACATCCCTGGACTAGGAGATGATCCCCTCCTACCTTTGATGAAAGCCTTATTGATACTTAGAGATTCTTGATTTATCTTTCTTTCTTTCTTTCTTTCTTTCTTTCTTTCTTTCTTTCTTTCTTTCTTTCTTTCTTTCTTTCTTTCTTTCCTCTCTTTGTTTAACCTTCCTCCACTCTTACTTACACTTACATACGGCAATCCCACACTTTCTACTGTTTCTTAACCTCTACCTTGTGGTTTTGTAATCTTCTTTACTATTTCCTGCTCTTACCTCCCATGCATTGGCTGACCTTCCTCCCCCATCTTCTCCACCTATTATAATATTGATCATCTTCATGGGCAATCTCTGTTTCCCCGGGTAGATAGGACATTGTATATACCACCTGCGGTATTCGGGTATTCGTCATTTTGTACATTGAATTGCAATTTTACATGCATCCGGTTTTATTTGTATGGCCCTGACTACTTTAATAAAAATGTATTGAAAAAAACCAAAAACTTTATGGTCAGGACATCCTTTGGAGCAGAAAATACCGGCCAGATCCAATGTAGTCAGACATCAGCCAACCTAACAAGAAGCTGGAGGAAACCCTCAAACACAGGAAGAAGATATAAATTACATGCAGACAGTTTCCTTGTCATGAGTAGGAAGGGATAGCTTACTGAGTCACAATGCTGTTCTATGGTGGATTACACAATACATAATGACATAGTCACATCTATAATGTGTTCCTGGTAATAGGATTTCAGGCCTTCAGTCAATTTTCTTATATGTTGCGGCCCATGTCACCCATTTTTCTTTCATCCTTGTATATTTTCAATGTTTTCCAGCCAAATAATTGCTCATTGTCTAACAAAGAGACTACAAATATTATCTTGGAACTTGAATAGAGATCCTACCTGAAGGTCTGTGTTTGGTGATTCAGTTTGTCCATATAAAAAGTTTCATGGATGTGTCAGAGGGAATTCTCCTCGTATCTCACTATATATCTTTATTGTCCATATTGATACAAGGGATCCATGTCACTAAACTTCTGTGATCCTGATTCCAGTTTTGTACATCTATATAACCCCAGACCTCACTTTCTGGAAGGATATCCTCACCACTAGTCATGAGGGATTTGATGTGCACACCGGGCCTATCAGCTCTTTACTTGAACTTATAAATGTAGATTTCCATCGGTTGAGGATAATACAATGTGTGTATAGGATTGGAGTCTGGAACTGTGCGATTCTACAAAGATCAGACAATTCTCTATGTAGTATTTTAGGAGAATCAGAAAACTGATGACTTGCAAGAACCCCATAGTTCTCCTTTAACAGCGAGAGCAATGGACCTGATAGGAACTCCAGAGTCCAAATGTTTCAGAATGTCTTTGTGTTCTGAATGACAAGGGGAAAAAAAAAATCTCTACACAGGGATGAGGTGCAGACACCATAGAAGCATGCTGTGATCATCTTGCTGGCGCTGACTGTAGTCTAATTCTTTGTGGTTTTCACACAAAAAAACCCCATGAGTAGAGCTATTATTATATCTGTGAAGTTTCCAACTCACGTGAGATAAGGATGTGGTTTCATACCATGTCACCAACTGTGAGAACGGTCAGCAACAACAACAAGCCTAGAAAAAAGCTATGCTGATACATCTGAGTGGTGGGTATAGAAGGGGAGAGAAGGGGAGGGGAGGAGAGAGAAGGGGAAGGGAAGGAGAGAGAAGGGGAGGGGGAGAGGAGAGAAGGGAAGGGAAGGGAGAGAGGAAAGAGAAGGAGAAGTAAGAGAAGAATAGAGAAGGAGAGAGGGGAAGGAGAGGAGAGAGGAGAATAAAGGGAAGGGTAGAAAAGGGGATCACAAAAGAGCAAAAGGGGAACAGAGGAGAGAAAGAAGGAGGGGAAGAGGAGAGAGAAGGGTGGGAGGGAAGGATAGGAGATGGAAGGAAATGGGGGGGGGAGGAGAGAGAAGAGGAGAAGAAGAGCGGAGACAAGGGAAGGTAAGGTGCACAGAGGAGAGAGAAGGGAAGGGGGAGAGGAGAGAGAAGGGGAAGAGAGGAGAAAGAGTAGGGAGGTGAGGAGAGATAAGGTGAGGAGAGGAAATAATAGGAGAGAGAGAGAGAAATGAAGAGGAGAAAAAAGGGAAGGGGGAGACAGCAAGGGAAGGAACAGGAGGGATGACAGGGGAGGGGAGGAGTGAGAAGGAAAGGGGAAGAAAGGAGAAAAACATGGGAGAGAAAGAAAGAAGAGAAATTGGGGATGGGGGGGAGAAGGTGAAGAAAGGGGAGGAGAGGATAGAGAAAAGGCGAGAGAAGTGGAGTGGAGGAGAGAAGAGATGAGGGGATTGAAGGGGAGGGGAGGAACGGCGCATGAGAGGGAGGGAAGGGGAGAGAAGAGAAGAGAAGGGGAAGAGAGAAAAGAATAGGAGAGAGGGAAATAATTGAAAAATCGAGGTGAGGAGTTCTATCTCTGCTGATGGGTACACTACATCCACCGGCTTTCCTCCATCCAGATCTCTACTCACCTCTTCATAGAATGTTAGTAGGTTGGTGTGACAAGAACGATCCTTCATAAATCCATGCGGATTATCATTAATTATACCATAGTCTTAAACAAAATCCACTAAATAGTCCTTTACCATTCCCTATGGACTATGGATGTTAGACTGACTGGTCTGTAGTTCCCAGTTTGGCATATTGACCCTTTTTTGAATAATGGTACTACCGTAGCCTTCCGCCACTCACTTGGTACCCTTCCATTAAGTATGGAGTCCTTGAAGATGAGGAATAATGGTCTCACTTTAACATGGCTGAGTTCTTTAAGTACCCCGGGGTGCAGGTTATCTGGTCATAATGATTTATTTACATAAAGTTTATCAGGTCTCAGTTGCACCCCAGCTACTGTCACCCCCTACGGTATCTTACACACTGAGCTACTCACATTCTTATCTCCATTAAACCCGTCTCTCTCCTGAGTGTATACAGGGGAGAAAAATGAATGTAACACCTCGGCATTCTCCCTGTTGTTTGTGATTAATCTCCCGTTCTCATCTTTTATTGGGCCAATCTGCTCTTTTCCGACCTTTTTAGTGTTTATATATTGATAGAAATGTTGGGGGTTCTTCTTACAGACAATGCCACACTCTTGTGTTTGATGTATTGATTTTTTTAGCCATGCAGGTTAGTTCTTGATCTTTTATTTTGTTACCCAATGGTCTGCACTTGGTAATAGTGTTGTGTAATGTATTCTTAAAACAATCCCACTTCTCGTCAGTGTTCAGTGTGAGAAATAAGTTGTCCCATTTAGTATTATACACCAGATGGCGCAGCATATCAAAATTTGCCTTCCTGAAGTTTAGTGTTTTTGTCAGACCAACACACTTCATTAAAGGAGAACTATGAGAACTATGAGGGGGGAGGGGGGGGGGCTTTTCACTCCTCCTCATAGTTCTAGCCGACCTGTGACAATGAGACTGTCACAGGTCGGCTCAGTAGATCGGGAAGTGAGCGAACACATACCGGCGTTCGCTCAACTCTCGATCCTGTCCCGCCTCCCTGCCGTGACAGGGGAGGGGCTGGATTCCTCCCTCCCCACTCCGATCCGCCAGCGCTGACTGGTGGAACGGATGGGGGAGGGGGCGGGTACAGCTGGCTCTGCCTCTAGATAGGCAGAGCCAGCTGTCAGTCACGCAGCTGGGCGGATCACGGCACAATTGTCGGGATCCGCTTCAGCTGCGGCGTCTCAGTATACCGCGAGCAGCTGCTCGCGTTATACTGCGGCGTCTCAGTATACTGAGCCTAGGGTGACGGGAGGACGCTAGTTTGTGTCCCCCCGTTACCCTAAGGAGAACTATGGGGAAAAGCCCTGACCCCATA